TTAATTACTACCTCTCTCTCTCTCTCTCTCTCTCTCTCTTTCTGTATACTTGGAGTTCGCTTAAAAATTGCTGTACATCTCAATAACAATTTGTGTAAATTCTAGCTTCATCGTTTCGTACAATTATTTCTATGAGATCGCTAAGAAGTTGTACCGTGGCCGATGGGACACGAGAAAAATGAAACGAAACGATACGAACGAAGGGAGGAGGATGGACGAAATTTGGTGTTAAATTGAAAGGATGGGGGAGCGGGATTTCGAGGGAACAAACGGAATCGAGAATGTCCCCTTTCAAAGGTAAAAGTAATTAAAGGTGTAACGTTGAAAAGTTGGGGCACGGAATTAGTGTAAAAAGCAGAGAGGTGGGATGCGGGTAGATAAGCAGGTAATGGCGTGGAGCTTTCGAGAGCGATCGTGTATATAAGGGATCGAGATCCGAAATCCGGCGACGAGAAAGTAAAAGGCTCGTCCGATTTTATTATTTTTCGACCATCGTGCACTCTCGCACACTCACGCGGGAAAAATAAAGCAAAACTCTCGAACGCGCCACTCTCTCTCACCTGCCACGACGTATGAGCGATTCCTGCTGAATCGCGATCTCACTTCCCCTTTCCATTTACCGCGCCCAAACGATCCACCGGACGTTCTCCGGATCCGCGTCGTTCCCTTTCATTCGATTCGTTTCTCTTTCTTTCCTCGTGTGCACGTGTGTGTGTGTGTGTACATCCTCGAAACGAATCGAAAACGCGTTCGCCGTAAGTGCGACGACCTTCGAACGAACTTGTACGAGGAAGTTTCGATTATTGAAATAAATCGACGAAGAAAATCGAATCGATGTGCATTAAACGATGTGGATTATAAATACCAATGGCGTTCGAATGGAATAAGAAGAATATATGATGTCATCGTGGTTGATTATTGAAATGGAAAAGGTTGTTTATCGGTAATAAAAATGAGACAAAATTATTGTTGGTAAGGAAAAATCGATACACTTGATCGAATTGCAATGGAAGAAAATTTTTGTGCTATCAAATTGAGAATTGAATCGATATGCATTTATTCGAATGGAGCAAATTTTGGTATCATCGCTAATTAGTTTTATTTAGAAAGTGACATTTGTGGCGAAATTGTTATTGACAATGAAAAATCGATTCATCTCGAGAGATCTTGAGTACGATCGTAATCTGTGATTGATTATTTAAGTAGAAAGGATATTAATTAACATTTGGCAAAATTATTATCGGTAATAAAAAATTTGTAATAAATTGGTACGTGTTCGTTTATCGTAGAATCGAATATGATCGCGATAGGAGGAGTATGAATATTACCATCATGTTCGAGACTAGTTGGTATTTAAATGGAAAGGAAATTAAAATAAATCGACATTTGACAAAATTATTATCGGCAATGAAATTCAATGCTGACTATAGGATATATAAGGAGAGAGAGAACGAAAATTCCATAAGAAACAACAACAAGATATTTTATTATCAACAAAATGAATACAGAATTTGCATTATGCATAGGATGTAAAAGTGTGTGATACGTGTCGAAAAATATCATCGTCGCGATGTGTCGTAGGTTAGAGAAATATCGCTTGAGAATTGACAAACGACAAACAAATTAAAAACATCGTGTCAAGTATAATAAGAGGTATTTCGTGTGATAACACGTGTCTCTAAAAAAGAGTAACAACGATAAAAGAATATAAATATCCTCTCTGTCAACGTAACAATCTTATTCAACTAAGATTAATAAAAAAAAAAAAAGAAAAACAGAAATAACAATTGTACCCATCGTACAAAACTTCCTTTCCATCTATCCGAAAATCCATCACGCCTTTTTCGTCTTGGCGCCAAAATTCACGCTATCTGGATTACTTTTGTACTGCTGCGTTTGTCTCTGAGTGATCGTCTGCGGTTGACTGTAACTGGTATACTGATAACCGCTATACCGAGGCGTTGCGGTTTGCGTAACGTAATTTTGATTCTGATAAGGCTGTTCCTCGTCGTAACTTTGCTGCTTCTCGGCCAGCGAGCTGTCGTAATCCTGATTATCCTGCGAGGACGAGCTCTCGTAATTCTCGTACTCGTTCGATTCACCTTGATCCTTGTCAGGCTTCTCGATCGTTGCGTACACGGTCGGATACTTGACGCTCTTCAACCGGGTCTTCTGACCCATGTTCCTTTGCCCAGCGTTCACCTTTTGCCTAAGCACGCTAGGATTCACCACGTAAGCGAGGCCAGTCTTGGCGATCGGGCTCGAAACAGGCACGTATCTCGTCTCCTTCCCCTCCTCGTTTTGACTATCATTATCATTATTCGCCGCGACCACACTTTTCCCCTCGTACTCGGGCCTCAAATTCTTCGCCAACACCTTCACCCATGAATCGTGGCTTCCCCTCGCGATCTCGTCCAATTGCTGAGCTTTCACGTAGGACGGTGGCAATGGGTAATCAGGGCCCACCGGTTGCCCGCCAACGCTGATCACCCTGTACGTGGTTCTCGGCAACGGGATAGGAAAATATTTCATCGTCGTCTGCGCGTTCCCCGTTGCTTGTTCCAACTGATTCTTGTACGTGGTCGGTTGCCCGTCCAGATCCTTCGAACTCGCCGATATGTAATTCGCCCCGTCGACGAACTGATGGTGATGGTGATCCTTGCCCTCGCCCTGCTTCTTCTCCTTCTCTCCGCTGCCCTCCAACTCGGAGTATCCAGCAGCGTCGCCGGGTGTCTGATAATCGGCGACAGGCGGGGGGAGGGGTGGCGGTGGGAACAGAGGCTGGTTGTAGTAATTGGGATGATAATAATAGGGGGATTGGTAGTAATAATTCGGATAGGAGGAGGAGTAGGGGATAGGGGGTGAGTAAGAGGGCGATGGGGGGTAGGGGGCATCGAGTAAGGATTGTAAGCGTAAGGATCGTTGGGATGGTATGGAAGAGATCCGTAGAACGCGTAACCGGGCGACGAGGGGAGTAGTTTTGAGTAGGGGTTGTAATTAGGGTTGTAGTAAGAATCTCGGGGATGATCGGCGCTGTAGCTGGCGCTGTACGAGTCCTTCGCGTCGACTTTCGGCGCGTATAACTCCGCGGATAATTGCGCCACGGCCTCCTTCTCCGTCCCCCTTTTAATTAATTTAGGGCTGTAAGGGTATACCGGGTATATCGGTAGAAACGGCTCGTCGTTCGGGTCGCTGCTTTTCCCGTACCCTTGGACGAGAACCGCGGATGATGCTAGAAGAAACAGTAGCTGAAATTTTAAACGAATTTTTAACCTCTTTTCGTAACGCGCGAACACATTTTGCAATCTCGTGGTGAAGAAAAATGAAAACAGAGTACGCTTGTTGGCCACGAATACTGACCAAAAAATCCATATCGAGTGGAGGATCCGTCTCTCATTCACCGCTCCTCGCTCACGTCTCGCCGTCTCTCGCTCGGGAAGATCGAATCGGCGCGCCGCCGCGACGTCTAATGATGCATCGGCCGACATTGAATTTCTCCTTTATACTCGGCCGGTTGAAAAATCGCGAGAACTAGTTTAACGTTTCTCTCGTTCTTATATGTAGATAGCAGCCGAGCCGAGTGCACGCCCGGTTCAGTGAAACCTGCCCGCCGCTAAAACACCTCTCCTTCGGCAAAAGATACCGAGACTGGTCTCCAAGGTGAAGGTGGGCGGTGATAGAACAGCGAAATAAATAGACGCGTGAAAGCTCGAACGAGATAACGAATAATTAATGATGTTTCAATATAATTCGGATCGGATCACGAAGAATGTAATGGAGGAGAGGTCGTGAGGAGGGTTTGACACGCGATCGACACTGGACAATTGGACAACAATTGGGCCTCGTCTCCTTTTGTTCGAGAGGCGGGGAGGAAAAAAGTGGAGAGAGCCGTTCGAAGAAACGCGACGGGATCACGGAAGTAAAACGACGAGGATGTCTGGTTCCGGTCGTGGTACGCCTTTCGAAGCGGACGTTCGTCCGAATCGGTCCACTCGCGCGTCCATCGGCTTTACTTTCACCATCCGTTCGACTTCCATGTTGCCGCGAATATTTGCCACGCCGGGCGGGGACCACGCCCTCGATCGCCACGCCGAATCGGCGCCGATCGATGAATACAGGGAGACATCTCTCGAGCAGTCGTGAATCTCGTTTCTCTTCGCACGAATTTACCTGCGGTTATTTACGGTGAAATTTTAATTGTGTAACGCGTAAAATTACACGTTTCGAAATTCCAGATTTTCTTTTCTTTTCTTTTTTTTAAGAGATCCGAAGAGTAATCCGAAAGTAGCTTGCAATTTTTGAAACGTATCAAATTTAGGGAAAGTTTGACGAATATTTTTATTGATTCTGAAAAGATGTGTCTATAATTATTGAAACAGAAATTACTGAAGGATGAATTATTAATTAGGGACGCAAGGATATCGACACGATAATCGACCATGTGTAAGATATATCTTGGGAAAGCGATCTTTCCAATATACTCCAACAGACTCGTCGGATGAAAGGAAACGCGTGTCGTAAATCTGATTTTCATTTTTATTACCCACCACGTTTATCACGTGGTGGAAATTTCTTCGCGCTAGAAATTGCACGAAATATTACAGAGATAGCGGTTGTTAAAGATGAGAGAGGAGTAAGAGGCGGGTTTTCCCTGTTTTCGCTCCAGGCACGTGTTCGATCGGCGTAAGAGTGAATCGCAAGTATGTCACTCGTCGAACCAGTCGGAAAATAGTGAAATGTAAACTTTCTTGCGATCTAGCCCGCTTCCAGATCGAACGCTTTTTTAATCGGACGATCCCCCCCTCCCTCGAGTCTCGAGTTGCTCGAGCTTGTTCCTCCGTTTTTTCGTTTTCTCGACGAGGATGCATGTTTGTCCATCGACCATCGTTGCGCACGTGCGATCGTTGAAAAGTGGGTCGTTCTTCCACGTTCGAGAACGATGCCCGCCACTTTCTTCTGCGGGGGTGTTGTTTTTACGCCACTCGTGAACAGGTTTAGCGCTACTCGTCGACAAAGGATATTATTAAGCTCGTAATCAATTTTATCGAAAATAATAATCGAGTATTTTAATAAATTTTGAAGAGACAAGTATTTATTGGAAAGTGAAGCGTTCATTCGAAAGATCGTATGAAACGATAACGAAAAGGGAGTCGTAGAAATCAAACGAGTGATAAGGGATTTTTTTCGAACAATTTTATTATTCACTTTCTCAAAGCTTTACGAGCGAGCAAAGTTTCTCCTCCGCTTACAAGTTTCTTGGATGCGCGTTTTCTTTTTCGAGAAGAATATTCTGATGGATTCAGGATCGAAACGGAATTACATTAAATTCTCTCACCAATTTAAATTTCATTTTTAAAGAAGAAAGCAACAAATTATTCCTCTCCGAGGCGAAACGAAAAGCAATTTGTTCTTTGCTCGAGTATTTTTTTTCTTTTTTTTTTTTGTAAATTCAAATTTTCTTTCTTTTTTTCTTGGAATGAAAATATCGCAGCCTAAATACCGTTGTCGCTGTTGTCATAGAAATAAGGGCAGATGGAAAAGAACAGTTTCCTCGTGAATCGTGTTAAACCGGTCCGCAGTGGCTTTCAGTAGTACACGACTCGTCCGATACTTTCCCAAAAAGAACAAAAGTTTAGAAAGGAATTCGCTCATTTCGCTGGAGCAGGATTTAGAGTAAAAGTGATCTTTCTTTTTCTTCTTCCTCTTCTTCTTTTCGTCATCTTTATTATATGAAATGATCATTCTTTTCTCGCGAGAAATAACTTTCACGGCGAACGAATAAAAAAGAACCTTTTAACTGCGAAATTTTGTACAGCCATTGATAAAATTAATGATCAAAAAAGTATTAACAAACGTATTATAATTTTAAAAATTTATACGTATATTACATCCTGTCGAGGATGTTTTCGATCGATTCGGAACGAAATCGATAATCAAAATTGTGAAAGCCGATGAATACACGTTTATACACGCTCGATTATTCTTGAAAGGAGTATACATACATATATACGGTATATAATGAAACGGTTACAAAAAGGAATCGCTTTATTACAAACAAGAGTATACGTATAAAACTATGGAACAAAAGCATCGATATAACAACGAAGGAATATCGACGGAACTCGTACAAATTAATTCGTAGGAATATAAATACGCAATACTCGGCGTTTTAAATAAAATAATTAATTCTAATAAACGCAAATATATAAATTAGCACACGTATATCCTATATCCATCCATGGATTCTACCTCTCACGGATTCGCCTAAGATTCGTCAAGTCGCGTTCAAAATTCCGCGTCTCTCGATCGATGCGACATTAATATTTCCCACTTGGACTCGAATACGAGATAGTGTCGTATTTGTTGCTCGACGAATCTTCGTAGCTCTTCGATACCCCGGGATACTCCACGTATCTGGGGCTCAGACTCGAGTACGAGCCGTGAGACTCTATCGGAGTACCGTACGACGTGGAAGGGGCCGAATAGGTGGGTGAATAGCTGCTCGATGCGCTGGAATAACCGGAGCCGGAATAGGACGAGGTTGGGCTCGAGTAACTGGAGACAGATCCGGAATAACCGGAAGCGGGAACGGAATAGCTGGAGGATGGACTCGAGTAGCTGGAACTTCCCGAAGAGTAGGAGGATGAGGATGAAGACGAAGAGGAGGAGGAGGAGGAGGAGGTGTCGGACGAAACTGGTATGTAGGAGTGCGAGGTGGAGACAGACGAGGCGGGAAGGGAGTAGCTGTCCGAGGATCCGCCAGAAAGGCCTATGTGGCCCCCTATCGAGGATCCGGAGGAGACTGGCAGAGAGTAGCCACCCGTGGAACCGGAGTGAAGGGCAGAAATTCCGGAATGAGAGCTCGAGGATATCGGGAGAGCGTAGCTGGAGGAGCTGCCGGTGGACGAGCCTCCGTGAGAGGAGGAGAGGGTGTAGCTCGAGGATCCTTTTCCAAGAGAGCTGGAATCGATTACCAAACCCCCGCTGGCCGCGTAACCCGGCGAGATGGAATGGATGGACGACATGCCGTGACCCGTGGACGAAGCTGGTAGGCCGTAGCCGGATCCTAGCATCGACGAAAGGCTGATCCCGGTCTGAGAAGAGCCGCCGCCGTACAGTCCTGTCGCGTAGATCGGAGCCGAGGACGAGCCTCCACCTCCGCCGTGGATGCCAAAGGTGACCGGTCCATTTTTGGACGGCGGGCCGAACAGAGCTCCTCCGCCGCCGAGAGAGGCGAGACCTGGCGAGGAGTAGCCTCCGAAGTGTTGCCCTCCCAACGTGATCCCTTGAACGGCGAAATTGTGGCCCAGTCCAGAGCTCAGACCCAGTCCTCCGGATCCCAGGGTGTATCCCATCGAACCGCCCCCTAAACTTTGGATACCCGACGAGGAATGGCCCAACGAGTATCCGCCGCTGTATCCAGAGCTTATGAGAGGCGAGTTGTAAGACGACGATCCTCCGGAGTACTCGACGATGCCACGCTTCCCTTTAGACGGGACCAGTCTCAACGATCGTTTCCCTCCCTTCGCCTCTCTGCACGAGACGCTGGAAATGGCCACGGCTACGAGGATCAAAATCACCTACGAACAGTCAAAATCGGATAAGTATCGTTGGAGAATTTCGTTTAGAATCGGGATTCGAGAATCTTTCTCTCCGATCCTTTCTATTCGACGTAATTGTTAAGCTCGTATGTATGTATACGATAGATGACTTACTAACGATCTCATGTTGATTCTAAACAAAGTGTCTGTCTCGATAGGCTACTCGTGTCGTGTCGGTCAAGTGAGGAACGGGTATGTGAGTGAAATTGTGGTTCTCTGATGCGTTTGCTACCCAGAAGAGAGCTTTTATATACAAATCCCCCCTTACATGGTGAAAGAAAGGTCTAGGTGAAGGTGAATCTCCCCGCGTCGGCACTAGTGCACCACCACCTTCGCAACCAAATGTATTCGTTCGGGATACATTCGAGGTCTAATCCATCTGATCTCGACGTAAAATTTGCAAACGAGAGTGTCCCGGTAAAAGTGGTTAACTCGATCATATCTATCGAGCATTGTGCTCCTCGAGTAAACACGTTTCCTCATAACGAACTCGATCGTTTTTTTGAAAGAAGGAAGAAAACGATTATTGCTTCGAGATCGAGTCGGTGATAACGATACAACGTTAATTACCGTACGTATACATACTTTTCGGGAGATTATGAAACGAAAGAAAAATTGTATCGAAACTCGTGTATCCTCGTTAGACCGGCAAATTCTCCATTTGCTTGAAATGTCATCGTTTTCATTAATTTTTGCGAAATACACGGTCATCTTGAAAATATACGCACCTTCTTAAATATATCATGCTTCCTATTAATTAACTCTGAGATAACTCGCTACCAACGCGCGCGGATCTTGTTAATTAAAACTTCTTCTTGACAGATAATTAACCAACGTCGAGGAGACAACTATCACTGTGTTCCTCGAAAATTTATTAAGTCATCTCGTCCTTCGTCTTTATACTCTTTATGCATATATTATATATAAATGTATCGTAAATGTATTTATCGAAACATTTTTGCTTTTCCAAAACGCGACTGTGAAATACATTTCTTCTTCTTCGTTGGCAGGAAAATTCTGTGTCTGAAGTAATAGCTTATCATTAAATTTTCCATTTGTTATAATATTGTAATATCACATAAGAGAGAGAAAGAGAGATTTTCTGCGGAACGAAACGAAATTTCGTTTCCCGGAAAATGTTTCTTCGCGCAAGGAACAACAGTTTTTCAATAGTGTTTTGTTTTGTTGAAAGGAGCAGTGAAGGTGTGGTTGATTTCGCGAGTGTTCTCCTCCTCGTCGAAGCCACTGAGAGCCGATAATTTCGATGGTGGAAAGTGAAATACCCTGGGACAAGAAAGGAAAAAAAAAATGGCGAAGATTTAAATATCGTCGCGCTCTTTTCGGAGAATGAAGAAATCGAGCGAAAAAGAATTACGTTGCGAGAAGGCGAAATATACGATAAAATGTACGACGCCTTCCATCCGGTGTGTGTCCACTGTCTATCCAACAGCTGAAAACTCCGATTGATTTCGTTTTACTTTCACTCGTGGGACGAAGGAAGGAAGTTCGCCATCGTAATTCCCTGTAGGCGAACGAAAAAGAAAAAAGAGGAGGCGAATTCTTGCCGATTCTCGAGCACCCGACCGGAGAAGAAACCAGAGCGAATTACGATTCGGGGGGGGGGGAGGAAAAAACTCGAAATAAAACCTCGAGTTTTTTGTGGAAAAAGCGATTATCGAAAAAACACGTATCGCGAAAGACACGTATTAATGAATACGTGTCGTAAATAATATAAATGATTAAATGGTCTGTGAATCATTCGAAACACGAGATAATAAATAATCCTTCACGAAAGTCGTTGAAGATATATAGATATATTCGACGGTAACTTGATTAAATGTACGAATGAATTTTGTAGCTTCAATTTTCTTTAGAGGAGACCGCATGGAAATGGTGGTGGTTGGAACGAAAAACATGAGACGCTTTCCCGGAATGGTACACAACCTACATGGAGTAACATTGTTTGCATGAAAAGTAAACGTGCTTAATAACCTGAAGGTAAATTTTCTGTCAACATTTTGCAAACGTGTACATGTGTTATTATTTAAATAACGTTTATTCGAGAAAGCTCGGTTGTCTATAGGAAAAAAAAAAAAAAAAAAAGAAAGAAAAAAGAAAAGTTAGATACACCTTCGCACTATACTCGTAGTATACTTTCGTTGTACCAGATGATAATTTATTAACGAAATCGGGCAAAAAGCGTACGATATTCTTCTCTTCGTTTCTTTGCATTAAATACAACACGTACGTAGAAAGAATTCACAATTTCAAATCGTGTAACGTTAAATTACCGGCTTATTGTTCGAGTCACAATCGTTAACAAGATATTAAACTTGTTTACTATTTGTTCCGCTCATCTAGTTTCTAGATTTCTCGAGATATAAATCGTTTCTTTCTTTCTTTCTTTCTTTCTTTCTTTTTTTATATATATATATATATATAAGAATAATAATTCCCCCAGAACTGGATTGGACTCGTCCAAGTTGAAACGGTAAATGTGCAGGAAACGAGTGTAGTGCACTAAAACGAAAAGTAAATTGAGATTCGGGTCAGTGGCGGAAAGTGAGTTGACACCTGTGTGAATCGTAAAGCAGCCGCTACTCTATTCCACGTTTCTTCGTGACTCGTGCCCCTTTTTCCTTTGCCGGATTACGGAAAATGAAACGGCTACTTCGTAGGCAATTACACTTGTTCTATATTTGTAGAAATCTGGTACGTTTAGCGGTATAATCGTGTAACCGACCGACACACGATTCTTCGACAGACTTTGTGCCTGCATTGCGCCACAACCGTTTACCTTTTTTACCCTTTTACCGGGATAATATTTATTTATAGTTGCACGGGTCAACAAACCAGTCAGCCTCTAAATCGTAAACCCACAAACCCGTAAGCCTTTGCGAAATGAAAAATATAAACAAACAAACAAACAAATGCGCAATTGCGTTAAATGCGTTATATGCGTATGAATGTAAACGCAATCTTAGAGAAAATTAATGGTTATATTTTAACCACCAATTCCGTTTGAACTTTAAAAATAATATATGCGTACGGCAATTTTAAAATTAATATTTTATAATTACGCTGAGAAATGTGGTTAGTTAATCTTGGCGTAATATCGTTACAACTCGAATCACGTTGTTTACGTTAAACAATCGATCTCGAGTTAATCAAAAATCTCTGACGCGAAGAAAAATTTTAATCCGAAAGTCAAAATTGACTAGGGATTAGAATTATCGGATAACGAAAATCGAAAAATCTGGGATGTAATATTTTAATATTACAATGATTCGATTTAAGGTCATGATTTCGATCGATCGTCCAAATAAAATTTGCCTAAATATAAACGCAACTCTGTTCAAAATTAAAAGAGAAAACGAATTGTATTGATCGTAATACGTGGCCGGGTGAACTCATTATGCATGCCCGGAATAATCCGATTAATCTGGTCGAGAAATATATCGATCGTGATTAGAATGATCGAGCGACTTTTGAGGTCACGATCAAGCAGATCGATTGGACGCCCATTAAACTCTTCGGTGAGAGTTCTTTGGTGTAGGTTTACGGGCCGGAAATGGAGACAGTTGCTTTTCTAGGGTGTACTTTCTTTACCGGCGAAACGAGCACGCCGCCTGCAATTGAGTTTTTTTTCTCTCTCTCTCTCTCTTCTTTTTTCGATTAGAAGAATCACTCGACTCGCGAGCAAATTCTTTTATAAAATTAGTTTTCTTTTTTTTTCTTCTTTTTCTTCTTTTTTCACCAACGAGCGTTAAAAAACAAAACTACTCGGTCAAGTAAAAAAATATTTATTCGATACAATAAATAAAACTTGGGTATGTACAAAGTTTAATCGAGAAATCGTACGCAATTAAGGTGGAAGCATCAAACGCATCGAAAATCTATACGACGTGTTAATTCGTGTTAATGTGTCGAACACGCGAAACATTACGCATTAACCTATATATATATATATAAATAAAAGAAACACGAATAGTTTCCCGTTTATCCCATCTTCGTGCGAAAACCCTGTCTCTAATTATCCCTTACGTACCAAAACCTCGTACCAATAAGAATCGATAAAAGATATTCCTGATACTTCACATATATATATATATATATCTATATATACTATCTACTTATCCAAAAAAAAAAAAAAAAGAAAAAACAAAAAAACGAACAGCGTATACGAATAAAAGAACGAAAGAGATTAAAATTTCAACCACGACGATAATAACGAGACCTGACCTCTCTCTCTCTCTCTCTCTCTCTCTCGTCGTTTCCGCGCGC